GGTACATAGTTATTTTTCATAGTGCGTAAAAATACTGTATATAGTCCTTCGCTTCGCTCCGGATAACAATTTTAACAAAAGGAAAGAACAAGTGAACGACTTTTTGAAATTTTTCTTTTTTTCTTTTTTTTTTTTGAAGTAAAAAATGTAACTTAATTATAAGTCAATTTTACCTCTTCATAAATTTGCATTTTGCATCCTACCAGCTCTCGGAAATTCACCAGTAGGAAAATACTGATCGAAAAGAACATAATACCGTACAAGAGATACAGTGTATTTCTAAATTAAGTACCCGAAATAAACACATTTGGAAATTGTGAATTTGTTGCTTAATTCGTATAAGGAAAGCTTTCTGTAACCGAAAACTATGTAATAGAGAGAATATATGTTCGTGACTGTATATATATATATAAAAGCTCGCTTTGGTCCTAAGATCGGTTGGTTGGCATCGGTCTCAAGAAAGTTAAATTCCCAGACATTTTTTAGGGCAGATTAATTAATTATTGGAGATTATACTTTTCAATTGTTAATTACTGATCCCCTAATTAGTTTGTGCGGAACACTATGATGTTTTGCTATAAAATTTAAATAAACTTAATAATCTATCTATACATGTCGTTAAGTAAAACTCTATTTCTTTTATACCTTTTTATACCATACACATTTACAGTTTTGTTTATATTACGCGTTCTTTATGATTTATTTACCAAATCACTTTATTGGTTTGTGACATTTATTACGTAGTTTTTAGGGGGTTAGCAAAAATTTTACGTTACTCCTAATATTACTGGATAAAGATGATAATTATTATCCCTGATCGACATTTGGTACGATTATGCAATAGCAAATTTTACAGTATATGTATTTATTTATCCGTTCCGAGGAGATTTTGTTAATTATACTTATAATAGATGGCTTTGAAAATTTGTGTAATTCAGATTTGCATTTTATAGTAGTGATTGATAGTTCCGAAGCTTTACTCATTTTAAAATTTTTAATTGGAAAAATAAAAAAAAAAACCAAGAGAAAGAAAATAAGATTAAACAATAAATATACTATATATATTATCACTGATGAGAATTTGATAATTGTGTAAATGGCAAGGGATAAATCAGTTATATCCTAGGTAGCTTTACATGATCGGCCTATCGGCCGATCATTTATCCGATCCTAGTGAAATTTTAATTAGTCAGGATAACTAATACATAAAATAAATGTTTTGTTTGCACCTGGCATATTTTTCGAATATACAAGTCTTAGTGTGCAGATTCTTATCCTAAAATGGGACTAAATCCGGTTGGGAAAATATATCGGTACACCAAATTATTAATAATAATGCAGGTTCTTGCCGGCATTATGATGGCTAAAAAAATCTAATTCTTAATATAATTTTTATTTTAAAAAGTCATGTTTGGAATTGATATTGTAACCTAAAATATCGGTACATCTTACTATGCTTTACAGCTGATTTCACAATATGCGGGACACCCATCATTTTTACTCCATGCCGAGAGAAACTCAGTAAAATTCGGTATAGGTATAACTCATAATAAAAATAAAAACTACACCACTGTGCTCGGACCAGTGCTCCGAATCTAACAATATGGGTTTACCTTATTCTGAACTTTACCGAGTTTTACCGAATGTACCGTCGGTAACTATTAGGTGTCCCGTATATTATAAAATCAGCTGTAATTATAAGGGGCAAAGAAAAGTATCGGTACATGTTACATCGGGATACTATATACAATATCGGTACAGCGAGGTTTTTTTATCGGTACAGGCAATTATCGGTAAATAGAAGTGACTGCATTTAGTGAGATGTATGTGTTTATATCTTTTCGCGCTTTTCATTCCGTTTGCTGTAAATTTTGTCATGAAAATTGTTAAATTATTTATTTGTTATTTATTTACTTATTTTTAGTTAATGAGTTATATATTTATTTACTTTATTTTTATGGTTGAAATAATTTTTAAATATATGATATATTGATAATAAGGAGTATTTTTTGCTTGTAAACTTAGGGTAAGAATGCGTGTAAAAGCGAAGAAGTGTCAAGTTTATATTGTTAGGCTTAAAGAAGGAACTGGCCAATAGTTTTATTAAAGTTCACATAGATTTGTTAGGTCTATATTTTGATAGTAAAAGTTACAAAATTTTTAATAAAACTTTATAATAATAATAAATAGTATATAATATATTCACCAAAAAATCAATAATAAACTTACAATCTCTTATAAGCCATGTTTGAAGAGGTTTAAAATTTGATGTAATCGAAAAGTCAAACGTGATTAGTTTTGGATTACATAAAACCTGTTCGTTTTTACCTGTGTTGCTTCCTTTATTAACAAATAATATTTCTATTCATGTTTCTTCCTTACTGTAAATTGGTTTCGTTTTTGACTCATACACTTAACGTCGCTAATTCCGGTAAACCGCGTAATTTTTGCCTGGGTTAGCAAGCATTAGTTGCCAAAATTAAAAAATTTCGGTAATTAATCTTCGAAAAAAATCGCTACAATCTGCAGTTATTTTTCATTTTATGATTTATTCATGATTTATTAAGTTTGATATTAAAAACTGTATCATTTGTTTAATTATAACCAAAAAAATTCATGTATCAGTAATATCATAAAAATACCAATAACTCTCGATGAAAATTGGTATACTGAATATTTGTTTAATTTTCTAAGGCTTGTTTCATTTATGAAAGACGTTCATAGATTCACTAAAATTAAAGCTAGTTTAATAAATAAGTAAAAAAAAAAATCAAACGCGGCACAGTAATTTTCGTTACAAAAACAGGCATCTCGATTAATATTTAAACTAGATTGATTATTATTTAAAACGCCTATTTACCTTATATTTGTATGCTGTACATGTTGTATTGTCCTCCATAACTTATAATATAAACACAAGATCATGTAATAATTATTACTGAACCCTAGCCTACGCCAAAAATGTTGGTTACCCTGACCAATTTATAAAAATTTGATTTGGAGCTGCCTCCTCATTGTTAAGATAAAGTTTGATTTCACGTGAAATAACGCGTTTGATGTTTTAGATCTCACGATTGAGCGACCTGTTGTTATACTCTTAAATTATGTTGACAGGCTGTGTAAATTATTGATTGCCAATCATTCCTAAAATGGATTAATGATTTTAGAATAAAATTCCAAACAAAATTTTAGCTAACCAATTTTTATTATAGTTCAACAATTAGATGTATGATAAATTGTCAGATCTAATAGTTTATATTGTTATAATGAATTTCTTTTTCAACTAGTTCCTAAGGTAAACTTGGCAGTTAATTGTTAAGCGAAACGAGTAAAAAAAGGAACGAGTGAGTTTGCGATGATGGCTAAAGAATGTGTGACCATAGATTCCTCAGATTAGATAAGGATTGTCAATGGATACTACTGTTTATAGAGTGACAATGTTTCTTTTATGAACTAAATAAATATTTTATTACATTACACATTTTTTTAACGAGAGGAAACAAACAACTTGAGATGCAGTTAAGCCCATCTTGTCAAAATGATCAAATAACTTTAATAAGTATCATACTCTTATTTCCTAAATCACACATAAAATGTGGATCTTTCGCTAACGGCTGGCATCTATTTTGTCATTAAATTATACATAATCGTTCTTTCATGATCGAGAAACTCCGTTATTACTATTAAATTTGTTAAATCTTCATTTTCAATTTTTCATTTACGAACTGACATATGCAATATGCATATATTTCGTCACATCTTACGTAATCTTATCTGGTCCCGATATGTAGGCAAAAAATGCAAATCATATGAATTGTGCGACGTCACCACCGTTTAAGGGACAAATTAATTACATATATAATATGCAATATGCGTCGCAGTTGGTATCACTATGAAGGCGCTCCTCATATAAAATTACGGTTTTCACATAGAAGTCTGCAGTTGCCTGCGTTTAGAAGAAAAAAAAAAAAATCAAAAAAAAAAATGTTATGGAGCAATCAACAAGTTTTAAGCATAAAATTGATTTTTTATTATCAAACACATCATTAAGTCCATTAAGTCAAACAACGGTTAAGTTAAAATACAAAAAAAAGAAATGTAATGAATGTAATAAAAGGAGAAAAATTACAGACGAAAATCATCAGATTTGCCACATTTGTCACAAAATGAAACCGTTATTTAAACCAAGCGGAAGCAAAATCATTGATGATTTTATCAGACATACACAAATTAATTATGTTAGAAAAGAAGGAAAATTGGAATTTATTCCCTATGACCAATTCAAAAATTTAGAATTTATTGCCGAAGGGGGATTTAGCAAAATTTATAAGGGTATTTGGAAGGATGGCCCAATTTCTAAATGGGATAATAAAAGTAATACTCGTCAATGTGATTATACAGTTGCTCTCAAAAAACTCAATGATTCTAAAGATATCACTCATAAGGGATTGAACGAGGTACGTACAACATTCTGTTTTAAATTGATTAATAATATTAATTAATAAAGTTTCTTATTTTAGCTTAAGATATTTTATGATTTCTCATTAAAATGGAAAGCAAGTCGAATGTATAGTTCTTACAAATATATTAGTAATTATTTTGGAATTACGAGGGATCCTGTTACCGAAGATATTATGATAGTTATGCCATATTATAATTCAGGTGATTTGATATATTATATAACTAAAGTATTTTATGAGATTAAATGGGAAGAAAAGTTAAAAAACTTAATAAAGATAATAATTGGACTTATGAATATACATAGTGTAAATATTGTTCACAGAGATCTTCATAGTGGAAATATTTTTTTTGATAACACAAAAAGTGCAATCATAGGTGATTTGGGTATAAGTAAATCTGCAACCGAATCTACAGATGACAACAATAATGAAAATTATGGAATTATCCCTTATATGGCTCCGGAAATTTTTCATGGACAAAAATATACTAAAGCTTCAGACATATATAGTTTCGGAATGGTTATGTGGGAGTTAATGACAGGTAGAAGACCTTTTTGGGATCGAAATCATGACACAGAACTTATTATTGAAATTTGTGATGGTTTACGACCACCAATTGTTACAAATGCACCTGGTGATTATATTGAATTAATGCAAAAATGCTGGCATTCTGATCCAGAGAAACGACCGGATGCTTATAATATATATCAAAGTATTCATAAAATATTTAATAATGAATGGAATAATCATTTTCGTAAGCAAGAGCCAACTAAAATTATTGAATCATCGGATATTGGACCTGTATCAATAAATGCTCCAGGTGCCATTTACAAAAGCAGACCTTTAAGTGCCATAATTAATTCTGCAATGTCTTTAAAAATTTCAAGAAAAATTTCAAGAAGTCGGTCGATAAAAATTTCAAAAAGTCGATTGATTGGTATGGAATTATCATTCTAAGTTATATTAATAATTAAGTTCTAAATTTATATAACATCTAACATAACTTTTTTAATTTTTAGACACAGATTATATTAGTAGGGAATTGGAATTTGACATTTAAATTCTGAATAAAAATTTTTTTTGGATTTCTTATTTTGATTAAGACTTGATTAAGATATATTTATTATAAGAATAATAAGGAATAATTTAAGATTAATAATAAGATTTATCGAAAAGAACTTTAAAATAAAATATTATAAATTTAAATAAATACAGTGCATTTATTCAATCATTTATTTGAGACTAAAGAATTACATTGTATCGAGCAGTAACAGCAAATTTATTCACAATTAAAATCAAGTGTCTCGATTGAATATTAAAAATTTTATTATTTTATATATATTGTTATAATCCCCTTTTATGTTTAGCGAAAGAAAAATACGGCATTTGCATTAATATACATTAGTTATGTACACATCTTTAGTAAAAGGAAAGTATGTCAATTCTATCCATAAATATAATTCTCTAAAAATTTCCTTTAATGACGAGATTTAATGATTTTTTCATGTTATTTGATATATTGTTTTGAAAAATTTAATATTAATTCATAGTAATTTTAATATTCGATAATTCTGTTATGTAGGTAAATTTTCAGATGATTGTTATACCCTTCTGAGCCGCTTTCTTATGTATTTTTTCGGTTCCTATCTTGCATTAATGGCGTTCGTTTAGGAACAACTCATTAACTATAATTTTTAAAATGTTCCCAAACAGATCCCATTTCTCTTTTCTATTTTTCTTGTCACTCGATATGTTATTAATTGTAAGGGTATTCTGAACTGAGATAATAAACGTTGGGAAATTAGTGAATATAATTTAGCAGGGAAATTTGTTATGATCAATCATACAGTAAAGGTATGAAAAAATGATTCGTATGGGGAAAATGAGTACTTAGATAATATGTATGAAAATATGAACACAGATAACTCTTATATTTATGATTAAAAATTGAATATAGTAGTATTATTGTATATTTTTTGTAATTTATTGACCAGAAACAAATTTATTTTATGTTTAGAAAGTAGCGCTATATTAATATTATTACTAGCGAATTTGGCTCTCCTAATATTTCTTCAAAAGCGTTCCACGATCGACCATCCCTAAAATTGGTACCCAGGCAGCACGCTTTGTTCCCTACCCGTGCATAGCATCATGTTATTCCAACAAACGTACAGTATTGAAGGGAGAAGAAGGGAGGAAAAAGAGAAAGAAAGGAAAAAAACTGGGTATAGGCAAGTGATGTTTATTAAAAAGTTTTTATATTTATGTGTCGTCATCAATGTATGAAAATCACTCCACATACTATTATTATATAACATTAGTATTTCTCTCGTCATCCTTGCAGTTGGAACTGTCCCAATGAATTAGCCAGCATATATCGGATTGTGGTCGCAGTTAGACAAAACCGTGTGAATCACAATAAAAGTTTATTAGCATATAATAGTTTAATAGTATAAATAGTTTAACAGTATAAATTTTCAAATCTCTCCGAATTTGTTATAGTTTTCATATTGAATTTAAATAACTTCTTTGATTATAAATTTCATGGAACAACAATTTTTTTATTTTTCAATAAGAACTTAAAATGATTTGAAAATATCTAAACTGTGACAATAATGATGAGCAAAGTGCTTCAGAAGAAGAAAGTTTTATATTTGATCAACCTATAAAAAGACGTGTATAATGTAATATTTAAATTTTACCATGACACCTATTTACGGTACATATACACTTGCACGTGATACATATTACGGCGCAGTTACCAGTTACTGACTTTCCAGCGTAAGTGCGTAACCTTAAAAAAATGTCACGAAAAATCACGTGACTTTTTTTGTCACAACCGTCACCCCACTGCGTTCCATTTTCTATAAGTATCCGAGGGTAAAAACTTATTCGTCACACCTTATTCGTCACATGTGCGCATTTACCAGTTAAAATTATTTTATGTGAAGCCGGACAGACTATTCAACAGAACATATTCCCTCGAAAGGGAGAGTTATCCTACTTCTAGCTATCATCCATCACCAGGACGGACCCGAACTTCTTTGAAGACGTTAGAACCAGCCTGATCCCCCTCCACTACCGAAAGAAGAACAGGAAGTTGTGATACGGCTTCTGATCCTTACACGGTTATGACCCCGGCAAAAAGTCCCGGTCACGTGATTGTCAAACAACCCTATCATTTTCTAGTTTTTTTGCCACGCTTTTTATAATAAATGGAATTTTTGAACATGGAGAAGTTATAGGCGCTTGGAATGTGAAGTAACTAAAAGAAATGAAAGAAAGATTATTGAAGCCTTAACCCATCCTCAGAGTACAATTGAAATTATTTTTGCTTATAAAAATCATAGAAGAGAAACTCCTCTCTAGAACTGGCAGACCGCTCATAATAATGACCAAAGAGATGTTCGTCATTTAAAATGATAGAAAAGTAAGCCTTCAGGAATTACATGAGAATTTTGTCAATTTAACTTCAACAGACGTTTGTAAAAAAACTTTAATTACCATCATGAACAAAGGTTTCTATGGTCGTGCTGGTTTTAAACCATTTGTTAGTGAGAAATAGGAAGAAAAGACTCGCCCGGACCAAAGAACGAAAAGGATGGGTAAATGAATGGGAACGTGTGATTTGGAGTGACAAATCCAAGTTCGACTTTAGAGTTAATGGTAAAAGATTGAGCCTCAAGAAGAATACAATGTGAGTTGTTTAAAGTCACATGGTAAAATTAGAAAGTATACTAGGAAAAGTGTTACGTGATCTGCGTGTCATATATTTATTTACCATATTTCAGGGGTCATATAGGTAGTGTTACATAAATCGTGATAAACATTCAAAAAAAGGAAATAAAATTGTCGATTATGACAACAAATTCAGTACGGTAAATTGTCCTTCGCTAACGCTTCGGACAATTAAGGAATTACTTGTTACCATTTCTAAAGGTCTCTCTAAAAATTATTTAAGTCGATCCTTTGGATTGGATTTTTATTATTAAATTTCCAATGAAGGGAATAATAAAATTACGGTAACAAATCGCTGATGTAACACGAAAATCAACGCTATTCATATCCAATCTAAATCCAATCCAATCTCAAATCCAATCCGAATTTAATCAAATAAAATGGTGTGGTAAAGTTTTTCTTTTTATATGAAAGCACTGAGTGTATTTACAAGTTCAATTGGATTGAATTTGAATTGGGTTTCCCTAATTAGATGAGATTGAATTCAAATTCGCAAGTAAATTGGATTTTATGTAACAGGATTTTTTTTTTTATTATTATATTTGTTTGGTTTGCTTGAGGAATTCTTAGGCGCTTCCATATGATAAAATCAAGATAAAAAATGAATAATTATTTATATGATACTAATGATAGTGTATATTGTCGATCGTGGATATTTCGACATGAAGGAACAATTTCTTTTCCACGTTTGGTCTTGAATTTTGGAAATTTCAAGCTCCAAAAAGTTATAAAAAAATTCTTTGATTCTTTATTTAAAAGCCACAGTGAGATTTCGGCGAAATTTTAATACTTAAAATTATTAAAATACGATATCAATTCACATAATCGTAAATTAAAAAAATTCAAATTCAAAGCCAAGTATATTTTTATTACTATAATTTAAGATTTTACACTTATCTCAAAAAAAAAAAAAAATTTGAAATTTTTGATAAATATGATCCTATATAAAAGTATTATTACTAATAATTTACAAAATATTAAATATATATTTTTGTTTGATAACCTGATCAAAAATATTAAAAAATATTTATTTACATTTTAAGAAGAGAAATTATTGAAACTAAACTCTACCCTAAGAAAGTATTTTTATTAACAAAAAAAAAATTGCACTAATTCCGCCATGAATCAAAAGTATGTTTAACTTAGTTGTTACTGATAACTGATAAAAGGAAACTGGTCAGCTCCATAATATCCATTTATATTTTGCTGATAATTATAGCCAAATGAATGACTGTTATTTAATATTTGCAATACCTTTTCTACTATTTTCTCTATATTATCACTATGAATATTATTTGTATTATTTTGCGATTTTGCATCATCTGGTGCTACTTCGCACTTATCGAGATGAGTTTGCATTCTTTGAGGAACAGCTCGTCGAAAATATTTTGGACAGTATTTACATCGAACATGAGGATGTGGGTTTTCATGATTACCAATTACGTCAAAGTGTTCCCAAGCTGGTTTCTTTACTTTTGGCATTTGGTAATAGTGCTGTACTTAAAAATAAAGGTATTTTGTAATATAGATAAGAGTTAAAAATTTTGTAAGTTCTTTTTTTTTGTTTTCGTTAATTGACAGAATTTGTCAATTTATGGATAAAAAATAATCAAAAAAGAAGTATTTATATAAACTTTACTTTTGATCAAAAAGGCGTCTGTTTGTATGATTTATGAATAAGATTGAACGCGATAATAAAATATTTTGGTTAATTTAACCGTTAATATTTACCGTTAAACGCCAGTTAACGTCAATTAACCTTGATGACAAAACTTTAAAATCCAGATTTTTCATACGAATCAATTACCGCATCTATAATTAGTTAAATAATAAAGTTAGAGACTTATTGTAGAAAATTAATTGTTCATTTTTTTCTTAAATCCCATTGGTGATTGTATCATGGCTTCCTTTAAACGTTTAGTATCAAATTATTTCTTGTGATATTTATTTATTTTACAGAATATAGATTAGCCAAAAATGGTTCTTTCCATCATTATAATTATTGATATAAATAAAGCGCACGAAACAAATGCACGAAATAATTTGGCGTTTTTTTTTTAAAAAAAATTAACTGTTAAATTAACTGTAGATCGGCAAATTTACCGTCAAAATCGTTAAATTAACCGTTAAATTGCGTTAAATTAAGTTAAATTGACCGCAATTAAATCAAATGTTAACCGTCAATTAACTGTAAATTAACCATTGTGCGATTTAAAAAAAAAGATAAGGCCACTCAAACTTGTTTGTTTGTTTAACGTACTATTTTTTTAAAAAAAAATCTAAATTTTGATAATCATACAAAATATGCCCCCTTAATTCCCGAATTTTTCCAAAATTTCCAAACTTTATTATTTATTTCGCTTAGTTTGGAAAAGTTTAAGAATACTGGAATTTAAAAATAAATAAAGAAAAAAAGATTCTTAGAACTTAAATTCTGTTTCTAACGCCATGAAAATTTACGTCAGAATCAATCATATATTGAAAGTGTAAATAGGCTGAACAATGTTTAGTTATTTTAATACTGTTTTTGTAGATTTCTTCTCCATTATTGACAAAAGTATAAATAATAATGATTAATCAAATGAATTAAATGAAAAAACTATACTTTAGAATCTCTGTAAATCAATATTCAAAATTAATATTAAGCGCAGCCGTGAAAATCAATGATACTCCACAGTTCCCCGTGAAATAACTAACTCTCAAAGGATAAACCTGGGAGCACAAATTTTGAGCGGGCGGACGGACCGCGAAACTTTTTCATAAAAATAAATAGTTCCTTCGTTACACGCCGGATACACGAAAATGTCTAGATGATACGAATGAAGCTTTCTTGTCAGCCAAATTATAGTGTACACTAGTGGACTATTCTAATGAATAAACGTGAAATTGGAATGATTGGTAATTACACATTCCTAATTTAGTGAATATCGATCTGTATGGTCCCAGCTAAACCGATTTAATATTCTTTCAACTTTCAAGTATCAACTAGCAACGTTTCTCACGCCAATTATAATACATCGAAAAACACGGCTCCGAGATGACTTCTGACCCCACGCATGGCATTAGTGGCAATTTGATATACACTTCAACAAACTTTTCTCACTATATAATATACTATATGGCAACAAAATAAGTTTCAAATTTAGTTCTTATAACATCACACTATTCTAATTTCAAGTTCATTTACCATTTACAAGAACATAGAAAAAGAAGTTGATAAGAGAATTTGGTGAATCTTTTCAGGTAATATTATTATCTGAGTTTTTTCACAGTAGAACTGCTTAAATTTATTTAATAAAATGTGTTTTATGTAAAATCATGAGAATAATTTTCTCTATAGACAAGTAGGAGACTCCATCACATTCTCGTTCCGATCCTTCGAATCTTATAACAGTCTGAGACGCAGTAGCGACACTTAATCTTCCAGAATGACAAAACTTGGTTATATTAGCCAATCAATTTGGGAACATCGATTTAATGAAACAATGGCATGGAATATCCCCTCTTGTCACATGTGCCCTGGCAGAATCTTCTGAAATGCAGAAAACCTGAAAATAAAAATACTTTGCCCATATATTTTATGCACGAAAAATCTGAAAACTGCTTTATGTATCAGGTGCCAGAAGTTAACCGACTTCATGAATACAAGGCGTTACAATGATTCCTATATGGCATGGCTGGCGAAAAAATTGTAAGTCAAACTGACGCAAAGGCGCTAATCATATTGCAGCTTATATTCTTCATGTTACATTGAAATTTATCATTTAGTTATTTGATAATAATTGTAATTTATTTTAAACGATAATTTCTTTTGATGGGTCTAGATCAAAAGACTGACAAACAAAAACGCGAATGCAGCGGTTTGTCCTAGTACAATTTAATATATTAATATATTAAATTGTACTAGGACAAACCGCTTGCATCAGACTAAAATGTCCTAGGTCATTATAGTCTATTGATTAATATGTACTAGGACATTATAATCTATCAATTAATATGTACTAAGACATAATAGTCTATCAATTAATACGTCCTAAGACATAATAAATCATTGACTAATTTGTCCTAAAGTTGGGGTCCGCTTTTCCTGTTTGTGACTTATTGGTCAGTAAATATGGGTGTGATGTGCGCCTATTTGGTTGTCTTTAGGATGCCGAAAAAAAGGTGACGGGTTGCACAGTAAATTCGTGATTAATTTCGGCCAACACTATTTCTTAATTCTGGCCGATCTTTAGAGCATGTGATTTGGAGGATCCAGCTTGGCGCCATGGTAGCGACCTGGTAGTATCCTGGAGCTGTCATGGAACTAGTGAGGAACTGGCAAGGAACTAGAGTGATTCTATTAGTTCGCCAGTTTCAGGCCAGCTTGGATGCCAGCTTGAATGCCGAGTTATTTATGTCAAAAGATCTGGCCGAAATTATGGAATAGTGCTGGCCAAAATTAACAAAATTTACTGCGCCTTACTGCGTCATGATCACGTGTTCAGTTCCTCGCCAGTTCCAGGCACTTTCCCGTCACTTTCAAGTAACTTTTGAGTAACTTTCGAGGGCCTGGTTTGGTGGTCAGTTGGTTAGAGGATCAGAGGTGTAATTTGCATTATATTAATCCGCCCATATATTTTCCTTCTTGATTGCCAATCTCTTAATTGCCTGATGAGGCACGAAGTGCCGAATTTGCAATCCATCATCTATTTGCTAAAGATGTGTTGCAATCCATTCACTCACTTTTTGATTGCCGGTGAGGCATGAAGTGCCGATGTTGTGCCATTCTTGCAATCCTGCCTTTCGTGACCCTTTTGATTGCTGAGGATGAGGCACAAAGTGCCGAATTAGTTCAGGCTATATTGCTTTCATACCTTTTTTCGTGTATTCTCCTGAGACTTTCTGCCTTCCCAATCTCTTTCCTGCCTATCGGCGGTAGTACACCAAAGCATAATTTCTTATTTTCTTTCCTATATATTATTCTACTTTGGTGTACTACCAAATTTATACCCTAGTTTTCGCCCGAGCCTTCCTAGAACTCTTTCTCGTATAGTTACTACTCTGGGATACTTTGGGGTACTACTACATCGATTATTTTTAGGCATTATTATATTGATTACTTTTGGGTACTACCACTGACCCAGTGTTTTGCCAGCAAGCATATTCGCTCAAAATTATATAAAATTTTTATTTTGAACTTTCCTAGTTTCTCTGTTATTTTATACTGCTTTCTTGCATATACACCATACTTCTTGCGCAAAAAAAAAATGGCTTAAAAAATATATGAATTATATGGATAAGTACTCTTAGCTGAAATTGCCACACCTCCGCTAGAATACTTATAATATTATTTATATATTTTTTTCTCGTGCAATAATACCGGCTAACTTCAATTTCTATCTTCGAACTTCTGACCTCCGATCATATAACCCGGCCTCGGATATGCCCAGAGGTGTAAATCGCTAGTCTGAATGTATCGGTCACTTTTTTCTTTCGACTTGGCGCTCCATGAATTCCATATTTTTTTCCCGACCACAATCCATATAATTTCAAGAAGTAGTAAGGTGAGTATAGAATATATTATTATCGGCGACATCAAGGAGCTCGCAAGTATAGGAGCAGTTGCTTTTGGTAAAGGCACCGCTTCTGCGCTACCTACAGAAATTAATTGAGACGATGGATTAAGAGCAGAAGGTTGTGATGAATCATTCATAGGCGGGGCGGAGTATTTACTTTATTATCTTTCTTTGACACTAACTGGTTGCGTAGCAATCTATTTTCCTCCATCAATTTTAATTGTTCTGAAGACCGAATATCCAGCTCCCGTTTGTATATGCTATCTGACGACTCTATCCCTTTTCCCATACATTCTATTGTATATTCTTTTGAACTAAGATCCTCATTTGCTCGTTTCAATTCAAGCCTGAGAGAATCAATCTCTTTAGGATCGGATGAACTTATTTGGACTGGCTCCTCTATCACCCCTCCCATTACATCCAAATCATGATATGTACGCTCTAGATCTATGTCCTCTAACTTACCTTCCAATTCACGTATTTTAGTTTCAAGAGATAGAATTGTAACCTTGTCAGCGGACGAAGCTTTCTGGGCCAAAGTTGCCTCTCTCTTTAGTGTTTTAATATTTGATTTAAGCGATTTGATTTCGGCAGTATATTTGGCTTCAAGCTCACGTCGACTCTCAGAATGAGACTTCCGTTCAGAAATAAGTTGGGATCTAACTTTAGCGCTGGACGCATTTAACTGGCTAATCTTATTTCCAATATCCTCCTCTCGCTCCAAATACTCTGAATTTTTAGCCAACAACTTTTCACAAAGATCATTAATTTCGGCTTTAGAACTAAGAGTGGTATACAATTTTTTTTTGAGCTCTTGCTCATACGCACTACCAAGCCGATATCCTCTATTTTTATATCTTTCAATGTATGCACATTGGACATAATCTTGGCATGGTTATATAGCAGAAAAAAAAAATGCGCGTAACTAAATTTCATCTATAGGGCATTTTTTTTATTTTTTCTTGTCAAAATAAAATATCAAATATTCTTTATTGAGAAACATCACTTTTCATCATTTTTTATCATTTTTCATTGTTTTTTATTGTTCAAAAACCATAAATATTGTTTTTTATCGTTCAAAAAACATAAATATTGTTTTTTATATTTTTTTATCTTTCTAAAATATTGCTAGAAATTACTGGAGGAATTATGCCTAGCCGATTTTTAAAAACTCATTATCGACGAGGTGCTAGTGTTTTAACGCCTGAGCAGATCGAATAAATTAGATGCCTTAAAAATAAGGTTCCTGCGTATATGATAGTAAGGAACTACCATATTAATAAAGATCGCGTCTCCGATATATGGGATGATTGTGAACGTCTACAACAGAGTGGGGAATATGTATTAGCAGATATGTTACCGGAGCCATCAAACCATGACGATATAGTTCACTTTAAGAACGATCCTTTAGGTGTTTCAAATATTTCCTCAGAGAATCACAATGAATATGATATCGTTTCCGATAGCAAGAAAAAAAAGACTGGAGGAAAGAAACCCAAGTCCAAGTCTGTTAGAATCTCTGAACCATCTATTACCCAGAATCAGCCAACGCCTACAAGCCCGGAGAGTTCAGAAGGTTTAAATATTAGCAGAGAGGATCTGAATGCATTTTATGAAAAAGAAGCTAAGAGAGACGAAAAAAATAAAGCAGAGGTGAATAGACGTCTAGCCGTGTATAAGATATTCCCCATTTAGTTTATCATAGCGTACTAATAATTTCTCACACAATTCATTAAGATCCTCTTTAGACTTAAGAGCGCTAAATAACATTTTTTCAAGCTCCTCATAACTCACTTTTTTTTTAATGCGCCATCCTCACTTAAGTCCTGCGAAATGCAGTCTGGAATCATGGAATTATACTTCTCCGCTAATTAATTACGTCGTATTTCGGCGAATGGACCAATTCACTATTTATTATAAAATTACTATGAATTAATTACGTCTGTCAAAATACATTACGTCTGTCAAAATAAATTTAATTAGTATTTTGTCATTTTGACGAAAAGTATACATGGAATCGTCACATTCAGGAGTAATGTTCGCGCAATTCACCTCGAGCTTGTTCTTGACCTTATGCATATTAATTGGAATAAAAAATTCCTTACCATTACACTCTAGTCTCAATTCCCGTTTTGAAGCAAGTAAATCATAGTTATATTTATCAAACAATGTGTTAGGTAAAATGAGCATCGGCTTAGGATACTTAACTACAGCAAAATCAGCATATATAGTACATCCGGGAGCAAAATTTACTGGGACATTTCGGACAGTACCAAGAGATTCTATAGGAATGGTAGCGATGCCTCTAAGGTCATGTTTTTCTTTTGTATCGATTTTCAGCTTTGATCGTTCAGATATATCCTTGGTCATAATTGGGAAATTAGCACCAGGATCAACTGTGGCCACCGGAATCACTAGACGCTTAATTTTGCATTTGGTAGTAATGACATCCGTAGCAGTATCCTTTTTCTAAATAAAATATATTTCCATAGGATCATTGATAAATTCATAATCCTCAGAATCAACTGGTATTCTGGAAGCAGAATTCTGCGATTGAAAAAAAGCTATGGTGGCACCAAACTTTTCATTAAGCACCTTTTCAATAATTTTCTCAATAATATTTTCCAAGCGGGATTGGTCATCCTGTGATGGCGACTTTGAACTTTGCTTTTTCTTTTTAGAAATAGGAGCTGAGACCAAAGGAGCTGTCTCTATATCTTTTACCTCTTGAGATTTGGCCGTAATGCGACCCTTTGATTTCTTCTTTTGTGGTAAAGGGGAAGGATTAATCGATTCTTTCTTCACTTTTTTTTTGTCTTAGTAATATTAATATTAATATCAGCTTCGGCTTCAGATTCAGATTCAGATGAAGAACTTAAACCAGAATCAGAAGAGTCATCAGACAACATATCAGAATTAGTATCCGAACTCGAACCTGAATCTAAAGTGGCAAGATTTACTTTACCCTTTTTGGACTTACTCTTCTTTTTTCTGGGACACTTACGAGAATTGTGACCAGTTTTACCACATTTAGAGCATTTATGTTGGGCTAACTTTTTGACCACATTAACCATTTGAGAGTATTTTTTGGAAAGCTTGGCATAATTGGCATCATTGGTGCCCAATCTCTTTATTAATTCGTCATTAATATAATTATCTAAAGATGTAAGATCTCTTGGTGCATTAGGTGGCATTCCCAAACGCACTGCACGTATATACATCTTTTCTAAGGCCTCATCATTCTGGAGGCGTACTTGAGCTGGTTGAGCTAACTGCTGGGCTCGTAGGGAGGCTATTTCAGATTTTAACTTATCAATCTCAGCTGAAGAATTACTCTGATAATTTTGACCTCCATTTAAATTGGGAGCACGCTCCAACCACATATCTTTAAGTTGTGTAAAGAATGCATCAATACCAGCAGGAGCAACAGCTCGCATCCATGTATAAAGATCACCCGACAAGTGATTCTTAAGAAATCCTACGGTTTGGGCATCACCATCCACTACACCTAATAATAAAGGTCGGATTCTTTTTTCATAAGTATCTGGTGAATCTGTGGGTAGAAATCTTTCTTGAGTTAACCTCTGCAGTGCTGACTGCCGACTACCTACTGTTTCACGTTGATATTCTGATCTCATCTAAGCGCGTAAAGTAGCTGGAGTATTAATATTAGCATTTCCGTTATATGGGTCTTGGGCAGGAACTGGTAAATATTTTCCTCCCATCTGAGCTTTATAAATATTACACTTGACAGCATCATCAAAATCTCCAGCATTTGCATTTTCAAGAGCAGTCATATGCCCTTGTGCAAATGATATTGATTGAATAAATCTATCTAAATAATCATCAGGAGGTTCTTGGCCTGTATAGGGCTTAGTTTTTCCAAGAACCGGTGCAATCATAGTTAATACTGGTAAACGTCTACCATCAGCCATATTTCCTAATGGATTATTCTGAAGCGCCAAAATTTGTCCCTGCAAATTTAAAATATTCTGGCCTTTTTGCCTAATCACTAGCTGAAAAACAAACTTTTCACGTAGCAATTCACCAATGCGGGTTTGTTTTCGTGCTATAATAATTAACATTCTATTTACCTGGTTTTGAGCATTAGTTTGCAATTGTCAGATATTTTGCTGAAGACGGTTAGTATCTCGCTGATACAATAGCTGTTTAGCAAATTTTTCTCGCAATAATCCTTGAACACGCCTATTTTTATCCCGATATGAAAACATCCAGCAATGGGATTCTTGTCTCTCATTATTATAGGCCAGCATAGCCAAGTCCCGTTCTCCTTGAGCATTATCTCTTTCCCTCGCAGTTCTATCAGTCTGAGCTCGAGATTCATCTAATAACCGCTGAGATCGCAGATTTTCATTTCTCATATCCCTCAACTGTTGTATAAGAACCCGCTCCCGCTCATTCGTTTCATTTAATAAATTCTGATACTGATCACGCTCAGCTGTAATATTTTGCAAAGTAACCCGAATAGTATTTAACGAGCCTCTGATACCATCTATAACATTGGCAGGATTCTGCATAGGCGTGCCAGCCCCTCTAATGTGATTTTCAATTCGATCTAATCCTTTATTAATATTTACGATATAATTAGCCGTTGCCATACCTAAAGCATTTATTGAGATTTTTTTATTTATGAGAATCCGGATTCTTGCTTTAAGACTCCCAACCTTATTTTCGAGCTCTATGATTCGGCCATCTTGAACAAATCCAGCCTCATCTTTGAATTTTTTATCTTGTTGTAAGATCCTAAGCTGTTTTCGCAAATCAGAAATATCTGATTTAAGTTTCTCTATCTCTTTTTCGTGGACTATGATAGTATTATCCTGTAATGAGATAGTCCGATAACATTGCTCAAGCTCCTTCACGAGAGAGCGAACTTTTTTCTCATTGCTCTTATTAGCAAAAATCTCATCTTGAAGTTCACTACGAAGCTCCTGGTTCGTATCTAAAAGCTGTGAATATGCTGGATCAGACATGGTATTATTCAGCCCTGATTTATAGTACTATCATAATAATCCTACCTTGAGAATGAGTCAACCGCAAATTGTGATAGATCCCGATGAAGAGCTCCGTATAGTCTGTAGACTTCTATTTTATAATATACCTGGTTTTCATCCCAATGCAAAAAAACTACATAAAGCGTGTCAGGAAGAAGGATATTCTTTTCAATTACAGGATATCACAAAATGGGTAAAATACCAATATAGTTACCAAATTTATCAACAGCCATTGCCATGCAAAGCCGAGGCAAGCTTTTCGAAGATTAAGATTCCAAACAAAGTTCATCAGTGTGATATTCTGCTCCATACTCACAATGATCAGGATGGTAGAAGGGTTTTCGTTTGTAGTTTGCTAGTCATAGATGTGGCAATGCGTTATAAGGAAGGACGTTCTCTAACATCAAGAAATAGCTTAGAAATCTGGATTGCAATCAAAGAAATATATGAGGATCCTTCTAATCCTCTCACATGGCCGACATTATTAATGACCGATGGTGATGCTTCGTTCTGAGGCGCATTTTCGCGAGGGATGCAACAGTACAATGTCACTATACGTGTTGTTGACCTTTATAGTTTTGAGAGCTTGGCTTTGATTAAAGCGTTCAAGAAAAATTTAGCGAAATTAATATATAATGTCCAATATGCCATAGAAGGGCGATTAGCTAAAGGGGAGCGATCAAGATTATGGAATAAAATCCTTAAGAAGTACATTGATTTTATGAATAATAGTAAGACTCGCCTTATCGGAATGTCACCAGCTCGTGCTATGACTTTGGAAGAAGTCGAATCAAAACCTTCTAGTAAAGCTAAGCGGGCAATTGGGAGACATGAAGAGATAAAGTTAAAAAAGGGTATAGCGGTTAGATATCTATTGAAATCAGGCGAACTGGAAGGTATCACAGGCACCGAGCAACTGATCTGTACTGGTCCTTGCGTGTCTATAAGATCAAAAGAGTTGTTATTGGAAGGAATCCACCACAACCAGTCTTATACTATCTTGAGAATGAACCTATCGAATCTACTGCCCATTTGATGGGACGAAACCCCAAAAGACCTTTCAAATTCGAGGAGCTCCAAGTAATCGAGGAACCCGATAAAATCGAATATCCGCCTGATGAATTTATGCGGAAATACCATGATTCTAGATTTATTCACTTCACTCGAATTGCAGATAATAAGCTAACACAAGCTGAAGGTTATGCAAAGAGACGTGGCAGACTATGCCTTGGAAAGACCGGGCAAATAAATGGGCATGATATATATCTTTGGTCTTATAAAAATGGTGCGCATCAATGGGAGTATCCATTAAAGTATATCATGAAAAAATTCGAATGGTGCCCTCTTTGCCACCACACTACTGAAAGAACTGTACGATATATTTTTGAGGATCTACTAGGCAAGAAATTTCCATCATGTAAGCCGAATTTTTTGCATGGAATGCAACTTGATGGATATAACGAAGAATTGCGACTAGGATTCGAATTTCATGGCAAACAACACTATAGCCTTAATTCAATGTTTCATAGGAGAGGCCAGATAGATTTGGATGAACAGAGGTCGCGTGATCAGAAGAAGCGGAATATATGTAAAAAAGAAGGTATATGTCTTATCGAAGTGCCATATACATGTGACCTTTTTCCCTACATTAGGTATACGCTAATCGAAAAGGGATATTTGGATGATGCAAGTGGGTAACCCAATCTATTGGGCAGGGCATTTATTGCCGGAACTTGAGAAATTGTTACATTATTTTTCGATATAATAATTAGTTAGATCAAATCATGAAATACGTAATATTTGCAGTGGACTAAGTCAAGCCCTCGAAAAAATATCAGGGTGATCCTCATGCACCGGCATGGCCTTTTCGAATTATAGTTGCAGGGGCTAGCAATTCGGGCAAAACAAATATGATTCTAAACCTGCTGGTGATGAACAAATTTTACTATATGTTTAGGAAAAAAAAGAGTTCTAAAATAGGTGAGCGCAATGTTAAATGTGACGATGTGATATTATGTGGCCACCACCTTGATGAGCCTAAATACGGTATCGTTCAAAATTTTTATAAATATCTCGCGCAAGATAAATCCAAGCCATACTATGAAGAAATCACATTCTCTACACTCACTCCTGATGAAATTCCAGATCCAAAAAAGTTCAATGCTAAAAGAAGTACACTAATGATATTTGAGGATGTCTGTTCGGACCCTCCAGCTATACAGAAAAAAATTATTCCATATTTTAGTAAAGGTCGCCATGAGAATATTTCTTCTATTTATGTCTCACAAAAATTTCACAGGATTCCTACGGATATTCGTGAAAATGCAACGCATATTGTACTCTTCAGTGGTGGAGGTTCAACCCGAAAATTTGCTGACATTATAAGTCCTTATACAGATGCTGATCCGCACAAAGATTCAAAGGTCATCAATGGTTATTTGAGACAAAAGGAATTTGTGGTCATTGATATAAATAAACCGAGATCTGAATCCTTTTCACTTCGATGGGACACTCCGCTCAATTTGGAAAAGGAAATCGAATCGTTGGGCAAAACTTCCAACTAGCTGTGCTGGCAACCAATTACCTGATAATCATTTACCTGCCAAATCCCGAAATGTGTATTTTTTCTGAACCTCTAGGTCATATTCAGATTCTCTATGTCGTTTCGCCCATAAATCTCTTTCACAATTGCTGGAATACGTTTCCGGTTCTGTAGTTACATCACTGTACTTCGTGTAAGAAAGAATCTGATCAACAAGAGCGATAATTTTTCTATCCTTGGCAGAAATGACATCCTCCAAACGCCGGCATCTATTCTCTAACAGGTCAATGGACTTTTCAGCTGATGCAATAGCTTTTTTCGTATCAGGGATTATACTTTTGAAGAAAGCTACCGAATCTGATAATTGGGTGACTTTCCCGCCACTCTCCTCCAAAGACCTGGTCATGGCTACCTCACGAGACGTATACTGCTCTTGCAATTCGAGAAGCTCTTCAATCTTTTTTTCCAATACCTGCTTTGATATACACAATTCCTCATTTTCTTGTCTTAACGAAGTTTCACAGTCGCTAGTAATAGGCTTCATCTTCTGACGCTCTTTTTGCTTAATATAATTTCCAACCGCCTTATTTAATAAATCTTCCACTTCGGGGTGGATACTACTTGCCTGTTCTATCAATAATGGATGTTTTCGTGAAGTAAGACGTCGCCATGTATCTATTTTGATGGAACGAGGAAGCTGGTTAAGTTGCTTTGAGTAATATACGTGAAAAGATGGTGTTAGTATACCAGTCATTGTTACTACAGGTAACTAATAAAAAAATTTTGAGAATTTTATGGATTCAGGAATTTTATAAGAAAAATTTTGAGAATTTTACACATACAGAAATTTTACAAGAATATAGTCATACGCGTCAATGTCGCGAGAGATCTGCTAGAAAACTGTGACACAATCAAAAACGCACATAACACCTGATCATTAGTCAACAAGAAAAAAAAACATTTTGGCAGGGTACCCCCAGCCGAAATTCGCCAAATTAATACATGGTTATGTTTTTCGTGATACAGATAACAAGTTTTTTATTAATTCGTTTTGTGATTGCTTGTCTTCCAATTTCACAACTCTGGCTTTAAGCTCAACATTCTCGGCTTAAGCTCGCTAATACATTGTTTCAATGAATCGGTCTCATCTATTTCAGATTGCATGCTTGCGTAATGTAGTATTAGTATGTTAATATTCAAAAATAAAATAAAAATCACGTGTTTTCTGAGATCACCGGTCCCGCAAATTCGCCAAGAAAAAAATTTATTATCCGGCGCACTTGCTTTATTAATAATATAACTTAATAAAAATACATGTATCGAAATCTCTATTCTATGAATTTTTGGGGGTCGAAACTGTTACTACCATTTCACTAGAACTATGCTCACTATCCCCAGAGTCGGGACTATATAATATTTTGTGAATTGTACATGCTACAACCGTTCTCAATGTCAATAAAGTATGGATAAGCGGATATACAGCACTCGGTGAAGTCATATGCAATGGAATTGTTGCCTCCTCTATTAAACATACAGTACTTGTAAATTCCTGATTCTTTTCGCATAGCATAAAGTTCTATAACATCGCCTAGAAATGGATCGAGCGGAATATGAATGATTTATGAATATATAAAAAAAAATAGAAGTAATTTATTCGTACCTGCGATGTTAATAGTATATATGGTCAGATTCTGCCTCATTGATGGTTGGTTAAATATCTTTTTAAGGTTTTTTATGTTCCTCGTAGTGTCAATAGAATCCTTGGAAAAACGTATTAATTTTTTGTGGTCACGAACCCGCTTATCCTGACTGGAATTAGGTCTACCGGTCTCAAGATACACAATTTCAAGTTCAGCTTTTTTTCCTAACTGGGCTACCATCATATAATTGGCTCTTTGGGCAATTTTACGAGAACCTTTTCGTATGGCACTAGCTGAACTCCCTTCTTCACCCCTTAATTTAGAAAACATTAATTATAGCAGATATGATAGTGGCGTAATGTAACTTTTTGAGCTAAGCCTACCATATGTCCCATGCTATCGGGTTTCCTGGTAAATCACTCATCACTATATTTAATAATGGCGCAAGCACCTCACAAACATATGATCCTTCGTTTATCGATTTCCCCTTCTTTATATATGCATCATATTTTGGCGATTTCCAAATCTTGAGCCTATAATTATTTATTGGTTAATGAGCAAAGTAAAAAATCATATAAACGGATTTTGGCAAGAATTGCTCGCCGGTGACTTACATAGATTCTAACATCCGTTTTGTTAGATCTTGCAATAGGACCCCAAATAATACTGATATAACTCACAAACGGGTTTGCGTAGAGTTTATATGAAATTACTTTTTAAACCCATAAATTGAGTTTGCGTAGATCGGTCAATTTTGGAATAACTCACATATCACGTTTGCGTAGAGTTTATAAATATATTGCATTATATGTTGCGCAACACCATTAAGGATGGGTCCGTAATATATTTCTGAAATTTGCAATATTACGGATATGGTAACTAATTATATATAGTAACAAAAAGTAATGCATTTCGCATTATTTTAATATTTTTTTAATAGAAAAAAAGTGCGAAATGCGCTAGTTTAACAAAAAAATGGTGGATTTCGCACCATTTTATTAACATTTTAATAGAAAAAAGTGCGAAACGCACCATTTTAATAAATAATTGGTGAGTTTCGCACCATTTAATTAATATTTTGATATAAAAAAGTGCGAAACGCACCATTTTAACAAAAAATGGTGAGTTTCGCACCATTTTATTAATATTTTAGTATAAAAAAGTGCGAAACGCACCATTTTAACAAAAAATGGTGAGTTTCGCACCATTTTATTAATATTTTAATAGAAAAAAGTGCGAAACGCACCATTTAAACAAATAAATGGAGAGTTTCGCACCATTTTATTAACATTTTAATAGAAAAAAGTGCGAAACGCACTATTTTACAAAAAAATGGAGAGTTTCACATGATTTTATTAATATCTTAATAGAAAAAATGTGAAACGAATTATATTAGTAACAAAAATTTTTTTGAACTAAGATTTGGATTTGCGTAGCTTTACTATGAAAAAAAAGTTGCGTAGAGTTAATAGTAAATGCATGCCGATCATTTGTGAGTTATATTAGTATTATTCGGGGTCCTCTTGCAATTCTTCGGGCTTATCCAACCATTCTCCATAATTAATATTACCCAAAACCTCGTCTATATTAATTTTCGATTCTTCGTTTTGGATAAATTCTTTACAAGCTTCCATTATATCATGATTCTGTTCTAACTTATATTTTCGAAATGGTTCCTTAAAAATATCAGAAACTGACCCAGGCATATTTGTAAAGGGTTCTGACTTGATATCTAGAACATCTGAACAAATCGGATGATCGAATCCAAGGTTCTCCACATTTATTTCCTCAAGTTCTGTTTCTATTCTCTCCCACATGGTTTTCTCATAACTAGCGCTCTCAGTCATGCACCGTCCAACGTCACGCTTCAAAGATCGTAAATTTGTATTTGCATCTTCATACCAGGCTTCTGTATCGATTACTAACGCTTCCATTTCTGAAAGTGAACATAGATCTTCGAATGCAGTCGTGACCTAAAATATATTTAAAATTAGTTTCCAAGACTCGTTTGACAAAATAATTTCATTTTACATCGCGGGATCAGATTAGGTTTCCATTTTCATAAAGTCTCAACTGCCGGCAAAATATTTGATATGTAGCTATATACTAATATATAGTATAAAACTAGTTACTACTGTGTGGGAAGTAATAATATTACAACGGACATCAGCCTCTTCGCTAGTGATTATACCATACTAGGAAACCTAAAAAAGCATGTCATCATATCCATATATTCGTCATGAAAATAGTTTATTGCCTCACCCGTTTAGCTAATTTTTTCCCGGTACCAAAACTTTGAAGTTTCTTTCTTCGCTCGACATCTTCTGAGGGAACTCGTTCTAAGACTCTTTTCAGAATATTCTCAAAATTCTCCACCTCCTTTTCGAGAATGCCTGTCCATTCACCTTCCTCTACTCGTACAAATAATGCCGTGGAAATTCTGACAATATCGAGGGGTTCTCTTGTTAAAAGGAATTCTTCCATATTTTAATAGAGTAAATATTAATGAAAAGCTTGCTAGGCGAAGTAAAAAATAATGTACAGTAAATTTCAATACCTTTTTGTCATACTGCCTTTTTAAATGTCTCGCATTCCCACATTCTCATTTCTTTGAGCTCGAGTTCTGTGTTTGGGAAGAGATAGGAGAAATATGCAAGGCACTTTACGCCAAAATTTTGTGTTAGAGAATAAGGGCATGTGGAATGTACATTGAAGATCTCAACATTTACAAAGGGAGTTGGGGATAATGCATATACGAACTTTTTTTTCGCCCGACCGCTTAATACTAAGACCTGACAACGTTATATAAATATGTTCAGTTCGGAATATAATAGAAATAGCCCGTAACTTTGGAGCAAATATACATATTAATAAATGCTATTTCGCTAAATCTTATTCTGCTAAATGTTGTAAGGAAAAAATTCGAAATATTTTGGGGATCGGTTTATGTGTGAAATTATTTTGTCGCACAAGCAGTCACACAGAGTTACAGATGATTTGCGGTGTATCACTATTACATCATATACACTTTAATGAGGATCGAAAACGTGCTAATTTATGTCGCATACGCCAGCATGCATTGTGACTGGATAATATATTATTTTATTAAGATAATATTCGGGATCTGGATCAAGGACTGATCTGGAAAATTCTGCGCACTAACTCACAATTATCATCCAAATCTGAGAAATTTATGGTAACATCCTTTTTATTAATATAACTATAGTATAGGAATTTTAATGGCAGTGAATTGCATATTCTTTCGATTTCTACCGATTTACCCCTATATTTCCCACAATCTGAAATTCTGATGATGTTCTCGAAGTTATATTTTTTATCAATAAGATAAAATTCAGGATTCTGTAACCATTTCAACATGTTATACCAAGTTGTATCTCTAATAATTACATAGCCTTGCTGATATAATACTCTAAAAGTAGCTAGGTATACTACAGTACATAATCGTCCATATAACTGATTTCTCTTCGCTTCTGCCCAAGTAGTAGCAAAATAAATGTTATGCCTATTTTCTACATAAAATTGGTTACTCACATAATTAGATTCTATTAGTTTTCCATTAATGAAATGATATGTTTTACCACGAGGAACAATATCTAAAAACTTCTTATCGTCAGGAGTACCATCATTCCTCACCGCCTCCCAAACCTATTTTGCCAAAGATTCGGGTCTTTTTTTGTAATTCTTGTAAGCTCGCTGGATAACTACTGCATAAAAATTCTCAAACTGATAGTTGTATTGTCTCGCAATCAAGAATCCCCAAGATCGCTTCATTGATCTTCCTAACTTCTCGAAAAATACTTTATTAAAATAGATTAGAAGATCTAACCCAGAATAGGCATAGCGTCTGCAGGTGATACATTTCATGCATAGCGCCTTCAACCAATTTTACTAGGCGATCATGCATGCAGATTATATAGCCAAAAAAAAATAAGTTATGCATCACACCTTTGGCTAAATATAGTTGAGATAAATAATGTTATTATTCAGTTGAGAGATATTAACTTTATCTCCTATTTGCATTATTTCGAACAGAATTAAAATATTCCTCAGCATCAATCAAGACATGGCTTCTCTCAAATCTATAGGCCGAAATTTCAGGTGCACTTGCACTACGTCGCATAGGATATCTCTCAAGACCGCCCATTAATGCAACAGGCTTTGGTGGCAAAGGAGGAGGGGTCAATGAACGTGGCTTATCTGTCCTATAGGAATAGTATCTCTGGTATTGGACAGGAGAAGAGGTTAAGAAGGTATTATCCATACAGATATTTTTTTGCTGGTTATGAAGATAGTAAGGCTTGCTATGCGTAGTATTTACATTACTTTGCATCTTATGCTTTTGCCTGATACATTGAATCCTATTTGATATATTTTCCAGCTACATCTCATATCGACGGATTGCCTTCTTTGTGAAATAGCAAGGTGGTGGATTATTTTTCAGCTTCATGTAGTCTTCAAAGCTCATATCACAATATTCGTTTCCAGTACAATTTGTACGCCAATGCTTATCCATAAAGAATGCATGGAAATACTCGTACCCGCTTCCTAATTTGGAATAGACAAGTTGATTGCAAGAATAGCATATTCCTATGTTTACTCCGAACCAAACATCACCTGAATATAAATATCTTGGTTTTCTGGCGATAAGATATCTCTTATTAGTATCAGTCATAAGATTATTTTTTCTATATCCCATTAATGTGTCCCAGATTCGCTTCTTCCAATCGGATGGAGTCTCATTCCTACGCACCCTAGGAAAATCGTAGTTAACATACGAATCAGTTATACTTAAATGTACAAGGGGATCAGAATATACCATATTTAACGATTTTAGCGATTAAGAGATTTATAGTGTTTTTGGTGAATTATAACGATTTATAGCAATTTGTATCAAGTATATATAGTAAAATATCAGATTCATTTTTATTCGACTACAAGCATATCGGGATTGCTAATTTTATGTTTACATGCAGTTTGTGGATCTCTCGTGATTAACAGGGATTAGCCAGAGGCGCTTTGCATGATGTATAACATAAAAAATTTGTATCACCCTGGCTCCCAGACAGTTCCCGACACTTCCCCGCAACCTTCCCGCAACTCAAATCACGAGGATCAGCCAATCATATTTTGCGCGCGCAGTAACTAAGCCGGTTTCGGTACGAAATCTTTTTTCGATTAATCATCATTGCAAAAATTAAAGCGCTGACTGTACACGAAGCTAATTTAATCTTACTCAGTCCCCACCTCACTCAGAGTAAGCTCCAACCATGCCCTATATAAGCAAGTCTTTTTACCTCTTCCTTTCTCATAAACTTAAAAATGTCTGCACAGTGGAGTGAAGAACAAATCCGAATGCTTATTAATGAACGTAAAAATGGGAATGAAGAATACCACCGAACCCCGAACTGTAACAAAAGAAACTTTTGGGAAGATATTGCGAATGAAATCAACCGAGTAAATAATACCAATTACTTCACTGGGGAAGATTGTAACAAGAAATTCTTAGCTCTAACTCGAGCATACTATGTAAGTAATATGATAATCAAATAGTTGGAGACGCGTTGCTTATACTTAACCAACTCTGATCTGATATTTTTGGTGAATATAGACAGCCAGGGCCTATAAGAAAGCTGTAGCAGAAGCTAATGCAGAAGCGCTCTTAGAGGGATCAGATAATACTGAAACTAATGAGGGAGATAAGGCAAAAGTCAAAAAGAAGAGAAGTACATTATTACGAAGAGTTCTCAACAGAATTTTGGAAAGAACCTGGTATTTATTTTTGTTATACTCTCGTGTATATGAAAAAGATATACCCCTAAAATTTTTATCGTTTCTAGGAGCACGTCATTCTACAACGCCATCTAATACACCTGGTCCTCTCGAAACTGGGTCTGATACTTCTTCCTCTCCACATAAACAAACCAAATCATCAAGACCTGTAACACCTTCTATTGAGACTCCCGTAGTCTCTAGACCTGTTACTCCCACAATCCCCTCATTCTCTCAAAATGCGAATGTAATTAATGTAACAATTAATTATGGTGGCAAAGGAAGCAGTTCGGAAGAACAATAGGAAATAGAATATTTTTTCGTTAGTATGGAATAGCGAATAGTTTAGTAAATTTTATATTTCATAGCTTGTAAAGCACACATATGTTAAATAATAGATCGAAAGACCGGAGGAATGTAATAATTGAAATAAATGATACTATCAAAGAGGGAGGGAGTTCTCGGATCCTAAGCCATAAATGAGAGTCCCAGCATCAAGTTATTTCGCAATATTACCTCCACTGATACTTCCTCTACCGCTACTGCTACTGTTGTTACTACTGCTACTATCAGAAAAACTAACTGATTTCTTATTTCCCTCCTTTTCAACCCATTCGATAATTTTATCCATAGAAGTTCTTCTTGGTGATTTTTGATGACGATAAAAACTAGCTAATGTGCTAGCACTAAGTCCAATTTCGATCGATAAAATATTATACAATTGTGTTGGTGAACGAGCTTCTCTTTTCCTCCTATTATTAAAAAGAGCCGTAAATTCGACCCAGTACGTTTCATATTCATCCGTATATTCGGAATACTGTCCCATGGAAACGTGACTTGTGGAAGAGAATCGGTTTGATCCGGCTAGAAAAAAATAAGACGCAGTTTGGCGCAGATAAGTATATATGCATGACGTGATAATTTCCGGTAGCGCATGACCTACCTTGAGATATCGCATCATTTCTCCATTCGGCTTCTGTACGCATTCTTTGAAGTTCATTGCTTAATGTTAAGACTGTTCTTTCGAGGTTATTATCTCCTGATAACAATAGATATTTGCGAAAAAAGATGATAGCGATGGCAACGATTATATAAATGTTTACGTTTCCAGAAAAAATACTCTGGATCATTTCCATAGTTAGAACACCATGGCTCAACATCTCATAAAAAACAATTATGACGCCGAAGGTTGCGATCAAGAAAATATCTGTGATTGAGAACATTTTATTAGACTGATTTTTGTTTTATTTCTTTTATGTGAAATTGATTTTTTTTACTTGTGGGAGGAAAAGAAATACCAGGCGCTTCTCTAGAAATATCCCTTTTATATGTTTTACAATCGCCTGGCAAAATTAAATGTCCATATATACTAGCATAGAGAACCCGCATCGAAATATGGATCTGGAATAATCGTGAAATGTTGTCATAATTTTTACCCCTATTTCTGAAAAAAGAAAATTATCAAGATCCTGTCCGGCGCCTGTACTTAAAGACGAAAAAAGTTAGTGCATTCCCGTATCCTTATCCCCACATCCCCACAACATATTCAAGCAATGAAATAATAATATTTTTTTCGCAAATGCTTGGCCGTGAGGCCTTACGCAAGAGAAAAGTTTTTTATTAATAAAATTTCACTAATAAATCGCTACAAAGGTTTCTTTGATATAGAGTACAGTATCTACATTATGTGAAGTGCCTTCAACTAAAGTCCACTCCCATTCCTATTCACTTAATTCATTTATGTCTAAAGAAAGAGAAATAGAATATATTTAATAAGTCACTGTTCACTTCAATAAACTGTCTATATGAAAATAGTGTGTCGACCGAAGAGTGGGATCCCAAAGGGACCTCCCAGCTAAAGGTCGAAATGATTTTTTTTTGTTATTTCGAAAATAAAGGCGTGCTTCTATTCGTTTGTGGCGCAGTTCGATTCGAAGTCCTTCACCATTTACCCCTATAATGTAGATCAAAATGAAAGGGAAATAGGCAGGGTATTTATAAAAAATATCAGACAGATCCGCATGAATATTTTTGCGAAAAATTAGCCATTCTAGGAATAAAATTATCGGGAGTATTGGCGTAAATTTTACATCCCTTGTACCTCCACGATTTGCAGATTATCTAATAAAATATACTGCTTATTTGATATGACCAGGAGAAAAAAATTGCGCTAAAATGAATATCCGATGAACATGCTAAACTGATATGCTATAAAATTTATACAATGAAGTAATTGTATATCTACCGTTTATTATCTAGATTGGCTGATATACCCCTATTGCAAAAAAAATCTGAATAAAGATTATTAATCATGGATCGAGATCTGTAAAACAGTAGATGATAAATCACCCATGCCGGATTACGTACTGCTAATTCCTATGACTTTATCCCAAAAACGGATTAACGTATGATTAGCCTATACACGTAATTTGTATGCGCTAACAGGATAATAAAAATATACCATTTATCCGAGGATCTGTAAATCATTGATTCTAATCGGCTCTATTTCCATTTTTGAATTTCTTTTTATCAACGCCCTGTCTTACGATCCGCAAAATGTAAATCAGGGATGTGGTTTTTTTATTAGTAATTCAGAACTGCGTAATGAGTGAGATAGAACATACCAGAACTTCTTTCGGCTTGGCGCTGGGGAAAGTTCATCAGTATGTCAACACAAAAATATTGCTCTTGGCCGAGTTTATTGATAGACCGATCCTCTAAAAATAACGACTGCGGATGCCGGTGACGTATTACTGCGCATACGAATATAGAGGTGACGTCTTACTGCGGTGTTTGGAAGTACGTCACCTGATTTTGGATTATTACTGCGGAGAAGTAGAGATCAGTGACGTTTTACTGCGCATGATATCCGGTCCCTCTAAGCCACCCACGTGATCAAAAAAAAAGAAACGCTTCATATATTCTAATTCAGACAATGCGAGTAATTGTTTCGCCCAATAATTCTCCTAGGCAGTGTTGGTATTTTTTGTCCGAGGATACCGCTAGTTGAGGATGTATAGCCATTTGACCGGCAGGAAAGACATGTCCGAGAACTTTTTTACCAACACTGCTCCTAGGCGGTCACCGTCACTGACTGAGGTGTGGGATCATCAAAATATGCCTCATGTTCCTCACCAAAATACACGTCATCGTCATCATTTACTTTAGGCGAAATCTAAAAAGGAAATTGTAACAATGCACTTGGATTATTAATTATTGTTTGTCAGCAAGTAGGCTTTTACAATCATATGTAGTTACTCAAGTGTATTGTTTTTATTAATACAATAATGGCATGATGTATCACACAAAAAATAAACTATTCTAGCCCTGTGTAGCAATTTTGACTTTCTTGTTTTCATAAATATCCCAGGGACACGCAAGATAATAAAAGTTATTTTTGTCCTGGCAAGTCCAGTCACCCCATATACCCCGATGCGTGTGAACACTCTTACATGCCGGGCACTTGGCTTCAGGATCGGTATATTCAAAAGCATCTCGACACCAAGTAATTGATTTAGTCCATGATAAGAAAGGGAAACGTTTATGTACAGCTTCATAGATGATATTCCTATCTTCAGGGAATTTAGATATCTTGATAGGCACATGTGAAACTTGTGATGCTGGTGGAATAGGTGGAGAATTCTGCAAAGTGGTGTCATAAGCATTCTTTTTGATTTGGGATTCAGTAGGCATGGATGAGACACTTACCTCAACTGAACCTAAGCTTTGCTCTTGTGCCTCCGATGCATTAACCTGATTGTTTTTTGGATTCTGATGATCATCAGCGATCACTTTAGAAAGCACATAGTCTATAATATTTTGGATTTGAGTATTGTTAAGGTTTGAGATTGCATTTGCACTATAGGTAACTTGCTTTATTTTTTCCACGCCTACCGCATTAAATAGTTTATATAATTTTCTTGCCCTAGATAGTTGCTGACGTAGATTAACATCACTAATATCTGGAAGTAGTTTTTTAACTTCTTGGTATACTTGTTGTTTCGCAGTATTGATTTTAACTTTGTTGATAGTACGAATTTCATTAATTCTTTTGTCATAACTTTCTGCAAAGCCATACCAGTGTAAAATCTCCTCATAACCAGAACGAACAGCTTTTCGAAACATATAAACTATACACTCTGCTGTAACAGAAAATTGCTGTTTTTTATCGATTACTGGCGGAGTGAGCGGAATTTCTGTGTCTATGCTAGTGGATGGGAGAGATAATTGTTGCATCAAGTCACGTTCTACTACCTGCTCGGAAGGAACAGTGAAATCGTCATCTCCGGATGAATCATTTTTGGACAAATTACAGTCCAACTGGTTATCCTCTATAGATTTGTCAATATTTTGATCATGAAAATTGTGAATTTTATTCACAAAATTTCCGGAAATTTCCGATTTTTCCAAAATGCTCCGATCGCTTGGCTCTTCTGAGTTGTCATCGTCACTATCTGTTTCTGCTACGTACGCAGGTTCAGAGATGACGTCCTGGTTAACTGACTCACGCTGAATTTTCTTCTCCTTATTGCGTTGCCTTATCCTATCACTAACACTTTTCTTTTGCACCATGTCTAAGAATTCATCGGTCTTTCTATCATCTTCGCAAAGTGAAGGGCTGGCAGGCACTGTTATCTCTGGTACAATAACGTTTGCTTCACAAACAGGCGTATGATGTTTGGGCTGGGCTATGTCTGAGTCAGGTATGTTGGCAAGTGATACCTCTGGCATCTGTTCTTCTTTGTTAAAGCAAACCTTTTCATAAAAGGAACCATCCATTTTCTCATCCGCCAATGATTTCCCGCGATCCTCTGCAACAAAATTGAAGTTAGATGAACTGTTGTTACTGTTGTTAGAAGAATTGGTTACCTTGGTAACATTATCATTTTGCATCTGTCTCTGTTCCACTTTCGTGATTCTATCTCTAAACTCAGCATTTTCGGACTCGAGTTTAGTGGTAACTGTCTTATTTTTCTCTAACTCTATGATTCTGGTCTTGAGCTCGGCATTCTCAGCATCACGCCTCTTATTTTCTTCCACACCCTGTTTTAAAAGTTCGGCAATTCTGGCCTTAAGTTCAGCTCTCTCAGCCTCAATCTCAGCGAACTTCCTTCTAAGTTCAGGGATTTCAGTATTCTTATCCTTAAGCTCATCATTCTCCTTTTTAAGTTCAGAAATTTTAACATTCTCCTTCCTAAGCTCGGCAATCTCAGCTAAGAGCTTAGCATTCAACTCTCTTAATGAATCAATAGATTGAGCGTTTGACATTGTTTTATACAGGGTATGAATAATTCAAAAGTTCGCTAGCATAGATAAAAAAAGAGGTAATATCCTCATCGGAATTACTAATTTATTGATGTAGAAAATAAATTACAAGCTTCGGTAATACATAAACTTGTTTTACAAACGTCTCTATACTAATGCCTGCCGGTGTTTCGTTCATCTAAGCTATCTATACACTAACACATCCCAACATTAACTCTAATCCGATTTCATTTGTCCCCAACATCGATATTCTGGATAGAATAAAATGTCGTCAATTATACATAGAACTCGCGGAGTCAGAAATAAATTAATAATATTGACTTAGTAAAACTTACCGAAAGTTTATAGTCTCCGTCTATCGAAAGTTCTGAACAAAAAATGGATATTAGTTTGCAAGCTCTGAGTCACTTCCTTGCAAATGCACAACCGAAATATTCATACGTAATTTCTTGTTTGTATTTTGATTGGCACTCTCATGTGACATTGTGACATGTGGCTGATTTTCGATTGATAAGTTTTTTTTTTCGTAATTTTGATTCTTGACACATCGCTGACTCTGTTCGTAGTATTACTGACTCACAGTTCGTAGTAATTAGTCAACAACCATTTATAGAAACATATATATATATGTCACATAATCAAAATGTCAAACTATTCTTCGCTATCTCGAGTACTTTCGCCATTCCGGGTACAAACTAAATTCGAGGAAAATACTCTACCTGCTAGGTCTAACATTGTATCCATAGTCTTTTGCTTGTGTTATACTGATTTTTTTTTGAACCTTGTTTTAACTCTCGATTCTCGCATTTGCAGTTATACCACCGATATCATGGCATTTTGTTTTGTGGTAGGTACTTTAATTGAGAGCACCTTTGAAGTTACAGGCCAAGCAGGAATGAGCATTTCAGCCCTCAGAGAAATAATCTACGACAAGAATAAGAACTATTTCGAAGAAATAAAAGTCGACGCCAACAAGTTGCACCTATGGAAGGTGGATATTCCTGGCGATGTAGAAAACGTTAAACTGAAAAAACTTGAAAGGAGGTCTCATGATATAAATGATGAAAATACTACTATACAAGAGCTCGGAGGAGAAAAGTTGACTCCATTTAAGTATTTTGGTGACATTTTTGCGTGTAGTAGCTCCAAGAACATCCGCATCATCGCGCAACCGCCCCAGCCCGCCACCACTGGTAAGTGTCTCCCAATGGTTTACCTCTCGAACAAGAAATTCGCGTTATCTCACATCTTATATTTTTTTATTCGAAAAAGGAAAACGACCACTGGAATATTCGGACGAAGGTCAAAATAGTAAAAGAGCGAAACCATTAGGTGTGTAATTCTTGGAGGTTCAACTAAACTAAACATCCCCGTTTTAACATACACGATTATTTTATTAGATCCGAATATAATTTCTACTGCCCGTAAAATCATGGAGGACATAATGAAACTCGACGAGGACGAATCCAGTTACTCAAACCCGAAAAAGATCCTCTTATTACCGTTCCCATATCCTGGTCAGAAAAAACCAGTAGATAGATTTGCCATTAATAATGATGGTTTTTTCACCTACATGGGAAGAAAGGAATTTAGGAACGTTTTAAAAACCATCAACCAATTTCGATCGGGTACTGGCTATATGAAATTATTTGTATACGGTACTGTTGGATATGGCAAGTCACATATCCTTTCAGCCATTGCATGCTTCCTTTTCCGAACAGGAAAGCGCGTCATATTTCTTCCCGATTGTCGCCAACTGGCTTTGGACCCAGTAGATTATGTCAAGTCTGCTTTATTTCTTGCCTACCAGGATAATAATACAAAAATAAACGAAATTAACTCCTGTGAAAAATTTGATGATATTATAAATTTTTGTAAACCATTAAATGAAAAATTATATTTCATCGTAGACCAAATGAATGCTCTGGATGAACAAGATAATACTGGAATTAGCTTAGAAATAAAGCAACAAATTAGACGTGATCTTGATCGAATGTCCAATTACCATTATTATATTATGAGTTCTTCGGCAAACAACAAAACAATGTTGCATCTTATGCAAAAGCAGACTTGTGAATTGAAGATCAAGCTTTTTGGAGGGTTCGATGAGGTAAGACTAAAAAATCTCTTTATATTGTGAATGTTCTGTGTATTTACGTAATATTCATTTAGGAGGAGATGAAAGAATGGTGGAGTAGTCATAATCCCGATTTGCCAGCAATGGATGAACAGCAGAAAAAACAAACTGAAGACATCACTGGCAAAGTACCATTATTCTTAAGTATTTTGCTGGAATTTAGTCATGTAAATTATAAGGGTGCATTGGAGTACTTAAATCAACAATTAACATCAAAGATAAAATATCCATTGACGAGCTTCTCAGATATTATATCAGAAAGCAATAGATGGGAAATGTACGTATTTTTATTTTTGTTTCATCATTGGTACACTATATGTAAACTGACTTCTTTATTTACACAGTCATGTCAGCTTGATGTCATCATTCCTGACAAATAATTTTCCTACACTGGGCCATGGACCTAACGATTACGATCATCGTTTCTTCTTCATTGAAGATGATAAATGCTATTATGTTTGTGGGTTAGTGCGAAATTGCATGGCTGATTACCTATATGAAAAGAACAGAATGGAAGTATTCGTAGATGTAAAATGGATTAAGGCGTTCAAGAATAACCCATCGGTAAAGGGATTTATAATTGAAAAGGCATGCCTTGCCAGCATTTGTAGGGTCGGGATTACAGCATATCAAGTAAATTTTAAGGTTGATCGTCGTCAGTTTTTTGCCAGTTTAGAAGAGATTAATTTTTCTTTGAGCGAGGAGTTGTGTACATTTTACTTGCCACGTAAATGGAATCAAAAGTCAATAGATGGATTACTGGCCCTTTACAAGACAGATACGTTGTATATTGCACCAATTCAGATTACTCTTGATAAGGAAGGACATTCGGATTCTGAAGGAGCTTTTTTTTCCTGTATTTGGCCAGAATTGAAATCAAAGATACCAGATGACTTAAACACAGAAGTAATATTCATATGGATTACACGCAAAAATGGGGTTGATGAGGAAGTGGAAATGAAGGGTAGACAATTAAGAGGAAAAGATATTGAAATTAATCCTGATTACGTTTCGGTAGTAACAGGATTTGCGAACGTCAATAGAGATATTGATCGATATCTTTCTCAAGTGTAATTTTGTAATGTCTAGTCTTAAAGAAAGAAATAAATTAAAAATATACAATAAATACAATAGATTTTATTTAGCGTTTAATCATAAATTTAATGCATTAATGCATGCAAACTTTATTAATTTTTCAGATATGTAAAATACATGAAGAAATCCTATTAGAAAGTGCATATTTTAAAGGGAGGGAGTACGAATCGTAGTCTATTTAATGCAAGACCCTGTACCATATTGTTTCCAGAAAATTTTTATATTCTATCACTAATTAAGAAATTCTTCTTACAAGGTAGAAGATAAAAGGATTCACTAACCAAGCCTTCGCATTTTTATAATTTACTGCAAATGTTACATATGCAAATCAAGTAAATGTGAAGAATCTTCACACCTCGAAATAATACAAGTTTGGACCAATAAATTTAGGTTATGTCGATATTTTTTTTACTTTTGTCCATGATACATGAAGAAATTATTACATTACTGCGAGATTGCTCAATGACTTCACCCTTTCATCCCCCCCCCTCACTTTGAAAAGCTGACATTGGCATCCGCCTCTCCTCCAACGTCAAATAATACGGCCAAGGGCCTTCTCCATCTTCTCTTTCATATCCTCATCTCATATACAGAATAAATGTTACATATACCGATTTGATCGTGACATTTTATCACGGTTTTTCATAACCTAAAAAATCACGTGCGCGTGAACAATTGTTCACGCCGATCACTTTTGCCAAGAAAATTTTTTTATTGATACATGCAAAAAATAAATACAAATGTTGTGAACCTTCGTTCACCGTCTATGATATTATCCGTGTACATTATACAAGCCACCCTAGACCCTATTCTAATTCGATTTTGACGCAAGATTACCTGTTGACCTTTGCTTTTTCGGATGCCTTTCTTGCCCAACATTTTTAGAAACTTCCTCAGACTTCTGTGCCTCCTCCAACAACCATACAATATGTCCGAGAACCTTTTCCACCTTAGCCTGTAGATTATCATCCTTGTACACAACGGTCACTGGTTCTGATAACTTAAACGATGGTTTCCCTTCACTATCTACCTTACACTCCATAAAGTACCATTCGGACGCATCGGTAACAATCCCAAATACCCTATCCTCTTCATTATTGATTTCGTCGGCTTTGCGTTTACGTGTCAAGGTTGACTCCATCTGCACAGACGCCTGGGCGAATTCTTTCATAAAATCTTCTTTCTTAACTTCGATTACACCAAGGATTCTACCGGTCGAACGGCACTCTATCGCATAATCGAGGTTTCCTTGTCCATTCCGTCCTTCGATAAGTTTCTCCGGTATGAGTTTGAAATTATCTTTATAGAGCGAGACCCCGGTAGCCAGATAACTGTAAGAATAAATTGTCTTAGTTGCCTCATATGCCTTGTCGAGGGGAGTAACGTCTTGACGAAGTCTCAATTCCGCCATTAGATGCTTAACCACTGCTTTGCTACCTAGGTCTACACAACCACAGTGAAAAACAGGGTACACATCAATGCTAGGATTCGGATCATCGCTAAGTCCATAGAGTTCACACATTTTCGGGAAGGTCCAAGAGTTGAATGGTTTCGAGGGCGTCTCGATGAATACGGTAAATTTAGGGTTGTTTTTTAAAACTAGTGAACGCAACATTTCTCGGAATGAGGGATCGTTCCTAGGATAATATCTATCCATGTCATTCATGAAGTTGAGCACTGCCCCATCGTTTTCGAGCGCTGGTGGTTTATACAATTCACGTATGTAATCTTTGAGATCACTGAGGGTTCCTTGCTCGATATTTACGGTCCACTTGTTTGCCTTCTGTTTTGGTTTGACAACGATGTCGAACTCTGTAATGTATCAGCCGGGTTAATAAAGTTCAAACAGCCTCACGACCTGAAGATTTTAGCAATCTCAGGTAAGGAAAAAAATACGTACCATATTCAGACTTGCTAAGTTTCTCCTTCAATGAGGCGACTTCCTCTCTTAATTTCAACACCTCATCCGAAGCAGTAGTCTCTGGTGGAGAGACTATGACATGAATATGCCTCTTAGGCGGTTTCTCAGTCCAGTAGTCTCCAATTTCATTTATTGCTAACAGCTCGTCACTGTCCTCGAGTGAAAGATTGCTTAAGGGATCGATATGATCGTCAGAGATTGGCACTTTCCATAGTTTAATGTCTTTGGTTGGAACGCTGTCGAAAAATGGCTTTTGACTCTCTTTTATAGCCTCCTTGAGGTGACCAACAAGCTGGTCCTTATTAATATCATCAGGAAAAGCACTAGCGGTCGTATTTTCTTTGACGAGACATAGTAAAGTGATAGACATGTTTTCGGCTTATATAGTATTTTTTGTGAAATATTATTGGCTCAAAAGTGCGGTATGTGAGGACAAGAGTAAAAAGAATTTTATTTGTGAAAAAATACTGAGTGAGTACTATATGTGAGAAATTATCTGTTGCACAGACCTGTCGTTCGATCGGCCACATTGCATCATAGGTACAACAATCGCCTAATCACTGCGCCTCCCTAAACCGTGAAGACTCTTCTCACTTATCACCTGACGTTTTTTATATAGGCTAGATTGGCTCGGATAAAAATGTTAGATTTATAGTCCGATATTATATAGTGATCGGGTTCGCAAATCGAACACCCCATATCATTACACGTGACCCATTTCTCATGTACCGATAAAATAATAATCCTTTATTTATGAAATAAAAAACATTGCCGGAACTGGCCTACAATACATAAAAATTGCGAATATATCGCTACATGATACAGATAATTATTTGGGGTATACAGTGATATGGAAGTGCTCTGCTTTAGGCTCCTCATCAAAAGAAAAAATCTCAGAAAACTGATCGTACCCGTCCATTTCCTTTTCAATACCGCTTCCAGCTTGAATTATACAAAATTTGAGAGGGATTTTATTAAATGATGCCCCAATCTGCTTTGAATTTCAGCCTCGAGTTCACTAGGACTATCATGTTTGCGAACTACAATTGATTGTATTACTTTAATACCCGGAATATTCATAAGTTTTCCTATAGGAATGATAAGACAATTGAGAGTGATGGTGTCATCGGCCATTTTCGATTCCTAAATACAAGAGCCATAGTGAGAAAAACCGCCCCCATACATACATAATTTATGACATATACATACCTTGTTTTGCGTCATGTTTCTAGGAATTTTTTTGAGGAAAGTTGGCTGAACTTCCACATACTCCTACATGCTTTATATCTTGCTGTTGGGAAGGAAAAAGAGCGCCAAGCCGAAGTTAAGGAGGTATGAGACATTATTAGCATTGTCGTATGATGCCAAGAGTTCTATGAAAGCACATGTAAACGGAATCCTCATACCTCTTCACATGTAGAGATCCCTTTGGGATCAGATCTACCAGAAAGACATATAGTCGGTTTTACGCCTGGCGATCTCGAAAATGTGAGTCCACCAGCCTTTTATAACATATGCTTCTGCCATCGGTATTTACTTTTACGGTAGGTCCTGTGTTGCAACTAGACCTCCTTTCACATTTTTCTCACATTTGTTTGGGAAAAAAATAAAGAATAAAGGTTAATGTTTTTTTCGATATATATGCGAAAATTAATGTGTCGCACAACCTATCTGGTGATCCACTTATTTTTTGTCGCACATGAATTCATGCATTGTGGCCCAGCAATTTCTTCCGAGCTGGTGATCACCGCTCCGGACTAGTCCGAGTATCTTAAACGGAGAGGGTCATTATTACTATAGACATATTCATCCTCTGATTCGGTTTCAGAGCCGGATGATTCCGTTTCAGTATACTCTGAATCATAATACTCACTTACACCGTCGAATTCACGATCATGTTTGATAAACTTGGTTATTATGACCTCCCCATCTGAGTTATTTTCGGTAAAATTAGGGAATAATAATTCGTAGAATGTATATAACGGCGGAGACAGTATATCAATGCCATTTCTTACGTAATAAAGTCTTTTCTCTTCATTATTTTCCCAATATCTTGTATCGCGTTTATCAATCCTACATCCCAACCTAATTAGCCAATTATTACCTAAAACCACATCATATTCAGGCTTGTCAACGACTAAGAAATGCTCGTTTGATTTTCCCACATACGAGAGGGGTTTCAGCTCAAAGATATTAGGTAAAGAAATGGAGACTTCTTCATCACGAACCCATCCTCTTACCATTACCTTCTTGCCAGCGTCTTCTTCATCACGAACCCATCCTCTTACCATTACCTTCTTGCCAGCGTTTGTTGCGCCAATGCCAAGATCTTTTACTGCGGGATATTCTGAACCATAGATTCTAGTAATATATAAACCAATTTTTTGGGCAAGTGTTTTACTGATACTATTATACCTGGATTTAGGGTCAATCAATGCCTTAACAGTTACTTTATCATAAATGAATAAACACTCCACTATTAATCTTTTGCGAATTTCTCGAGTCACCTCATCTTTCCATATATTATTTATACTGCAACATTTTTTAAGATCCTGTATCGAAAGATTTTTTAGAATAAATGGTATTAGTTCAGGCGCAAGCTGATCAAGTAAATTAGCTGTATGCATTTTATATGATTAGAAGAATTTTCAATCGGGAAAAAATAGAGATAGTTGGCATATATGTTTTCTTTTTCGAATATATATGCAAAAATTATTATGTCGCACAGACCTGTCTAGTGATCCACTTATTTTTTCTGTCGTACAATCTGTGGCTCAGCAAAAAATCTTCTGAGCTGAAGATCACTGCTCCGGACTACCTTCGCTCGGGTTAGTTATCCAATGTATACCTCTCAATAAGTATTGTACCCCATTCAGATTAGCAATACCGGACTGACTAATATAATCTTTAAACCCAGTTATAATACCAGTCACTGATTCTTTTTTCGCCTGAATAAGCATTTCTACCAATTCACGATAATAAATATTTTTTGCAATACATCTCATATTTTCTCGTATTAATCCACTATAGAATTCACTTCTAAAATGACCTTTACAGAGTTTGATGATATCATTACTTTTCTTCGCCTTTAAACAGTAATCCACTATTAATTCTTCACCTTGAATAAACAATCTACATTGGAACTTCTCAATACCTTCTGGCCATATTTCCCTTTGAAATTCATGCGGATAATATGGCAATTCTATCAGACTCAAAATATGTGGAAGATAGAAAACATCGGATTGTATAAATACATGGAATAATGACGATGGATTTTTTACACTAGGCAAAGCATGTACAAATTGCTTAAGAGCTTTCTCCCACCAACGCGTAACTGCCTTTGTCTCCCAATAGGTTTTGATTGTGCAAAAAAGATCGTCCCAGTATCTCCACTCATCGGGATTCCTTTCATTATCCCATTCATATCTCGATCCATATTCTTTGATAAATTCATCGTAGCCTTCTTCTATCTCGGTATCTATCTCGTCATCTGACATTTTGCTAGTAGATTGATTAAATATTTTCAATCGGAAAAATAGGTTGATCATTGCTTGTTTCTGTCGCACAGGAGTACATGCGCAGGCCTGCCTAGTTTCAGCTGTTCTTTGATTTGGTGGAGGAATTAGTACAGATAGTACAGATAATGGAGGGGTCCGATGCGCATATCCTCCCTATCCTTTCTATATTACATCGAAATATACAAGATCTCGTTGAAGCGACATGTGAGGGGGAAACTATGTCACTTGGGGAAATTTATCATTTGCTTTTATATTTGGAATGGGATATAAGCTTAATTCACGGTGATCTTGGTATTGTCAGTTATACTAATTCAGAAATAAGTAGATCAGAAGCCGATAAAAATGCAAGAGCATATCTTCAAAAGTTTAGACGGTCCCTTGCCTTTAGCGCCTTCGGCAAGAGATGTTCCAAGTGTGATAATACAGAAATTCATCGATAGGAAGTAAAAATGATTTGTTTTACCGGAAAGGGCTTCCGTTAATTCTGAAGGTCTAGAACAAGTTAGCTAATCTATATTTTTTGTCGCACAGGGCACATCTAGATGCAAAAAAAATCTTCTGAGCTAATGATCGTCACTCTGGACTATAGATCTAGCCAACCCTGGATCGGAATACCACTGCAAATTATCTCGCATACTTAGATCTAAAATTCTCTGAGCTAAAGTCTGTCTACTAGCAATGTTGTTCTGTGTAAGATGATTTATAACTACCCCAATGAGATCAGGGGGCGATAAAGTATCCACGAAATTCTTGATATGGATATTTGGATTAAGTGAAACGAGCTGATCTATGGCTTCTTTAGTAATATTAGCACACCCCTCCAGATTAAGATATTTTAAATAAAGACACGAACGAGAAATTTCTTTGATAGTTACATCAGTAATTCCACAAAAACTAAGGTTGAGATGTTGGAGATTTGGACAGGAATGAATGGCATTGCAAATTGAAGTCTCGGCGACGTAAGCACACCTAACAAAATCAAGATACTCTACACT